AAAAATAAAAAATGTTGATATTTATTTAAGACCTCTTTAAATTGGAAATCAGGAGGAACCCAACAACAAAAATTAACATAAAATCAATATTAATCATTTCCTCTGTGGAGTAATTGGTACCTTTTTCGCTCATTTGAAAGTAAGGGGAGTAGGTTTGATAAGTAGGTAGTTAATTTTATTTTCGTTTTAAAGTGCTGAATACTGGGTTTATTTATGGGCAGTCTGTTCTACCACCCTAGCGCCCTATAACTTTCCACATTATTAACGTTCATTAAGTTTGAATCGAATTTCTTTTTCTGGATCATTCGAAATATTTAACACGATAATACGCCGGCTGATACCTCTCTGGAAATATTAAAATATAGGACAAAAATAAACTAAAAAAAGGACTTTCTTTTTGTTTATTTTTTTCTATATTACTATCCTAAATCTAAACTACAAAAAATGTAATATTTTTACAAATAATTATTTTTTGTAGAATGGACTTGTAATTTTGTTTTGATAAAAATAAGAATGGTTAAAGACACGATAGAAATAATAATTAAATTCTGTTCTCGATTTTCTATGCACCAGAGTTCGCTGTTCGGCTATTATCGGGTTTGCTCCGGCTGTGACGCCTAGACTTTAGTGGTATAGCCGTGTCAGACCGTTATATCAGGAATATAGTCTTTTTCTATATACAGGGTGTCCCATGCGGTTTTTCCCAAATGATAATTTCGGAACGCATCATCGTATGTTCCACTGTATAATTTTTTATAATTTTCTTTAATAAAGCCTTAACAAACATAGCATTGACGATTTTGTAATTTAATTTTCTAACGTAAAATGCCATAATATACCATGAGCTACATTTAAGATTCGAAAGTTGACGTCACTTGACCGAAATTGAAGCGAAAGTGGTGAAATTGGATGACGATGGTAGAAGCGGCATAAAAAGTTACCCACATCTTCCAAATTTCAATTATATTGGATGATGCGTTCCGAAGTATTACCTGGGAAAAACGTCGTGGGACACCCTGTATAGTTTTTTGCACCTAATTTATGAAGGGCCTCCTAAAACTTCACTAGCCCCGGGCCCCATGAAAGCTTAATCCGGCCATGAGTCCATCCTGCAACGCACCGGGCCCGTGAAAAATTAAACCAAATTTATCTCGCACTGGCGCTATCAGTGCAGAAAATTGATTTTTCCGCAGGGCTGTAGGAAAAAGTAATACCGATCCTGTTTTAAAGTCTCGACACACATGACCGCACCGTATCCGCACCAATGACCTATTAGGCAATCTACTGACCTGTCAAAAACGAAATTCAATATGGAAGTTCGAACTAGTTTCCTGACTGTTTCCAACCAATGAAATTCGCTCTGACTGGTTTGCGATTTCTGTGCGAACATACCTTAAATCAACTTATTGACACCTTTAATTTGACACATCATTCAGTGCAAAACTTGATAGGTGTCAAAGCTGAAACCGCAGGCCCTTGCCCCAATAAGCTGCCCTGCCACCTTTTTCCGGCAAGTTATCACGAGGCAGGATCGACTTTTTAGATAGAGGACATCGAGACCTTTAATCTGATACCCTACTTAGGGCATAACTCGATGGGGGTAGTGTTACGTTTTTTTCAAGTTGTTAATAATTTGTTAAAAGATATTTCCGGCGCGGTCGTATCTCAGACTAACTTGTATTGGCATAATTATTGCCACAGTTAACAACAACAACAACAACAACAATTTTTGAAACTGTTCCTGCGGTCCAGATAATAAGTCGACATAAATAAGTTGACATAAATAAGTCGACATAAATAAGTCGACATAAATAAGTCGACATAAATAAGTCGACATAAATAAGTCGACATAAATAAGTCGACATGAATAAGGCGACATAAATAAGTCGACATAAATAAGTCGACTTAGTAAGTCGACCGGCTGACTTAAAAAGTCGACCGGTCGACTCAAAAAAAAAAATTCAACTTGATCCTCCAGCGCTTCCGTAGAAACGCGATCGTTGCATTTACTGCGAAAAATTGTGTCTTTTTGAAAATGGCTGACCAGGGCAATTTGGAAGCTGTGGCGTTCAAGAAATTTTCTTTTTTTTTTTTCGAGGATCAAATCAAATCAAAAAAATATCTTTAGTATCAAAAACACATGGGGATTTATCGACAAAGCGGAAATAAAACAAATAATAAATTTGCGTAATGATAATTTTTACAAAAACAGATCTTTAAAAAAAATAAAAACCATACCCTACCAGTGAAATACAGGATTTCCAGGCATTTCCAGTGATCTAGACTCTTTAAATGTCAGTAAACTTGTGGTTAAAAATTTTGATATATACTTTCATACATTTCAGAGTTCTTAGTAAGCATACTTCAAGGAATAGGCAGAGGCAGGTTGCTGCCTTGTCTCGAAGGATATCTTTTATTAGAAGTTTCCGCTAGAGTATTCCCGTACTTCTTCAAAACAAGACATACAGTCGCAGGGTATTTTATATAACTCATCAATATCAGTGAGATACATATAAAAGGAATTGCTAATAGAAATGTGACTACGCCGGTAGGGGATCTCTATCGGCTATTATAGTCCTATGAGTCGGTCCGCAATAGAACAATAAAAATTGTTGAATCTATCACTATCCATGAAAATTGGATTCAAGTTCTTTGTTCTACCTGACAATTCTTGATAATTTCCCAGATTTCCCTAGCTTTATTGATGGCTCCACCAATGTTCTTTTAGAAATAGTTCTGCTTTGCCACCCCAATAACCCGGTTATAGACTCTTTTGTACTACATGAGATTAGATTTTAATAGCAGTCGTTATCCAAGATTTTCCTGACTTACATTTAATTTTACGTTCGGGAGAGCTTTTAGTAAAACATTTAAGAAGTAGATCACTAAAAGCAGAGATGGGCATCTACGCGTAAACAAAGATTGTCTACGTCTGGTGTAAACAACGCGTAGACAATGTAAACTATGTAATCTATGTAGACAACGTGTAAAATATGTAGACAACGCGTAAAGTATACAATTTTTGACAGTTGGCAGGCCTCAGGCCCTGCGATCTCTCATTTCTAGTTATAAACCACATAATAACTCTTATCCGTTTTTCTAGATGTCGCTGACAACCACAGAATTGTCAAAATTGTAAAATACCTGCACAACAAGAACACGTCCGATGTCGATAACTGACATGTCAACATATGACAATATGCCAAAATATTCATTTGATCATAACTAATAATTCATAATGTTTTTCGTTTGCCGGTCTTGCATTTCATCTTTCTTTGTATTGTTAAGTGTTCTTAAGTGATTTCAAAGTTGTTTTGTGTGTTTCAAGAAGAACTTCAAACTTTATAGATTGGAAGATCTATTTTTATCTTTGTTGATTAGATAAATGACAGGTTCAAAACATCAAACAGAACTTTGAATAAATATGGTAAGGATACCCTTAGCTATCGATAAAGAAACTGTCTTTTGATCTAATTAACAAATTATCAATTAATTTAAACAAACATTAATGTCCCAAAGTCTAGAATAAACGAATTTGAGTAGACCGACAGCAATGCGAACAGGGCGCCATCTATCATAAAAAGTTCTATGTAAAATAGGTGTCTGTAGCATCGATGCAAAACCAGTAAATAGTGATTTTCCGATATGGAAGATGGCGCTGGCTTGGCTCAATTTTGTTGACAACAAAGTTAACACTGAGATTCCATTCTCGACAGTTTATATAGTATTTATCTCTGGCAGGCCTTTAAGGTTATGTTTCTGTTTTTGCTTTGTTTTGTTTTTTGCTCTGTAGAGTTAATTAAACTGCAGATAATATGTCTAATTTGATACAATATCACTGGCGTAACTATCATAGGGCAGTTCGGTGCAAAACACCGAGGCCCCCGAGACTGAAGGGGCCCCACAGGGGCCCCTCATTTGTCATAAGTACCTATTATATTGAATTCGTAATAATACGAAAAAATGATGTTTTTAAATGTCTGAAATTTATTTTTGACAAAACAAGGTGCTTGAGAGGGCAGGAGAGGAAAAACGAACAGTTCAGTAACAGTTGCGCGAAACTCTATTGCACTGGAACGCCTATAAACAGCCCGGGGCGCTCTAGAGCAGCTCGGGAGTGCTTAAAGTGCGTCACTGGAAAGCAACTCTTGTCTGTCAGTGGATGGCTGGATGCCTACAAAGTGAAACTGCAACGCGCTTACTGCTCAGTGCTTTATGTTTCCATTTTTCATATCGGGTTCAAGTTGTTGAGGGTTGGTTGATGCGACATAAATAAGACCTATCTCGCATGATTAGAAAAAGAGAGCTTAATTCTAATAAATACAAGTTAGAAAGCAATAAAAGATGACATGCGCGCGCAACTCGTAGGCTGCAGTGTAGCCAGATTGTATTGTTGCAGAATAAATGTAGACTACAAATCGAATATTATAACATTGAAGAAGTGATATAGTGTCGAGTGTTTTACAATGCCTTATATCAGACAAAAGAAGAGTTTTAAAGTGGATGAACATCGTTTGCACTTTTATTTTGATAAATGTTTCTTCCGGCAACATCGCTCAATGAAATTGCAAAGGAATATAATGTCAAGTATAATCTTAAACGAAACTGCGGTGAGTTCAAGTAATATGTAAAGAATTAGTTTGCTCTTTGTCAATTTACACGTTACAAAGAAAGAAGGAACAATTCATTCTGAACTGGCCCCTGAATGAGAATATGACGCAAGCCTGTCACAAACTTGCTTCTCATTGGACGCTCACCTGCAGCCTACAAGCGACGCGTGCAGTCCAGGGCTGCAACTAAGTTCACGCTGAAAAGCGATAGTTTCTTGGCGATGTCGCTAGCGATGATCGGGTCGCATTGTACTAAGTTCAGTTGTCGCCACATCAGTCGTGCATTTTCGGGCAAAGCGACAATTTACTGTTAATTTGCTGTCAATAATAAAGATCTAACCTCAAAATTTAATTTAAAAAAAAAACAAAAACAAAAGTGTTTATAGCTCAGGATCATACAATTATATTTTTGGTGTTTTGCGTCTAGTAGATAGTATATTAATAAATATGAGATTAAATAGTGAGCACTATGAAATAATAGTAAATTTTGCTGAAAGACATCCAGAAATTATAACCAACAAAGTTGTTGGTTTAAATTCTCGGGAAAAATTCCAAAAAGTCTGGGACGATCTGGCAAATAAACTGAATTCCCTAGGATATGGGACTTTGACTGTGGCTGAGTACAAAAGGGTATGCATACTGACTGATAAAACACAAATGAGCGCTTGAAATAAACAAACATTTTTTTCCAGAGATTGACCGACTGGAAAAGCAAGGTAAAGGGAAAGAAAGCTAGTGTCACCAAGAGCTTGTCACAAACTAGAGGAGGACAGGGAGTCGGTACAATAATAAATAAACTGGAAGACAGGCTATTATGTCTTATTGGAGATAAAGCTTATGCTGGGGATAACATTCAGGAAATGGGAATAAAAAGAAAAAAACCTGATGATGCTTTAGATTCCAGTAAGGCATTAAAAAAAGCCAAATATATACCAGCCACAATAACTTCATCTCGAACTTCATTTATAGAAGAAACTTCTTTTGCTATGGATGAGCCTCCAATTTCAAAAACTTCTGGCCAGCTACCTTCAATAAATGCATATGACTTGGATGAAATGGTTCCTGAAAATACCAGTGCTATAATAGATGATGAACCAGAGGAAACCATTACCTTGCAGTGTGATTTTGAAGAATCTAGTAATACTAATAATGAATTGCAAACGAAAACCCCTTCAGTTTCTACATCTCGACGTAAAAAATTAACCAACCTTACTGACTCTGTACAGGAAATGAACAATGAAACATTAGATGTACCAGTGGCGGCTCGTGACAATCCAAACTGGTGAGGCCCATGGCCCATCAAGTTAACCCAAACAAACCCAAGCAAAATTTTCAAGTGTTACGCCCAAATTTTGAACCAAAATCCATTAAAAGAACATCTTGGATATTTTTTTTTTTATATTTCTAATGAAAATTTTCATTTCTTACAGTTGCAAAACAACAGCAGTAGGTACATAATTCTTATTTTAATACAAATATTGAGTTTCAAATTAACAAAATAAATTCCAAAAAACAGTTTTTAACCCGCAACAGACCAAAATAAAAAGTATGAGCCAAAAGTTGAAGGGTTGTGGTGGGGAGTGCCGTGACATCGCTTCGGCGTTCTGTGACGCACATGAGGCCAAAATTTTTAGGATTGCTATTTTATTTTAATGCTGTCCGGCAACGATTTGAGCGCCTATGGATAAATAGGTAGAAGCGCGCGCTAAATTCAAGAAATAGTATTATATTTTAATGAAAATTCGATGTTTTGATTCTTTCAATGATTGAAAATAGTTGAAAAACGTTAAATATTTAATGAATATTATTTCAAAATTTTACATCATTATTGTAATTTTTACATGTGAGGCCCGGCCTCAGTTGCTTTATACGACGAGCCGCCACTGAGATGTACTTAAAAGGGTTGTTGACAATTTGGAGAGAGTGAATACCAATTTGTCAGGTATTAATACCGCATTAGCCAACATATTTTTGTTCTTGAAAAGTCATTAATGCACCCTGTGTTTTTTTTTATATCATTTTGATCACTTGTATGAGATCATCCAAATGATATCAAAGATAAAAAAACACCCAGTTCCTACTAATTGTATATTATGAAACCTATTACAAATAAAAGAAGCTATTATAAAATTGATTTTATGTTTTTATTTCTTAATTTTATATAATAAATAGAGTAGGAAAATTTACATCCATTGGTCTTTAAATGTTTAATGGCCGTTTGCACCGACCATTCTAAGGAAGCCTCAGCTATAAGTATTCCTTTAAATGACATTTTACATGGAGAAATGTCACTTTAAGGAACACTTATCGCTAAGGTTTCCTTAAAATGGTCGGTGCTAATGGCCATAAATACAATAGTATGCCCGCATTTTTTAAAACATATGTAAAATTGGAATCATCTTTTAAATAAATTACCCTTGGTATACAACATATAATAAAAAATATATTATCATTTTATTAGGTACCTGGATAAAAAGAAATGATAGGACAACATAACATATATGTTTATATCATCCCAGAATTAGACTTTTAGGCAGAGTCTGAGGCTTAAAACCCATGATACTATTACTCAAGAAGATAAGCTCACTTGGGCATATGCAATAATATGATGACAAATTTTCCAGGTGGTGAATTTCATTTTTTTCTATGGTAAAGCATGAAATTTTTTGTCACTACATTACGTCACAGCTTCAAGTGGGTTTATCTTCTCCAGTGATAGTATCATGTTAAGGCCTAAATCACTGATCTAGCAAATTTTTAAATGTGGCCTTGAGAGTGCCAAAAGATTATTAGCTGACTTGGTAATTTTTTGATGCTCTAAACACACACTTATAAATTTAGGTGTTTACACCCCTTTGTCAGATACCTTAAGGATGATATATTTATTGAAAATATGTTTGAATGAGCCGTCTTCTTGCTTCAAGTCCTTCATGGTGGGGTATATTGTGAGGATGATGAGGTATTTGAGCAAGATCGTCAACAATAACATTTGGAATTTCTTGCAGCCTTCCTTGTACCCGAATGTTATGCAAAATAGCACAGGTATTTATAATATTTCCAACCACATCTGGTGCATATCTGAGCTTATTTTCCCCTGAAAGGCATCGAAATGTAGCCTTGAAGACACCATTGAGTCTTTCAATTGCATTCCTTGCTCTAACATGCCGAAATGTGTAATTGCCTTCAGGTGTACCTGGAGGAGCATCTACAATGGGAGTCATTAAAAAGGGCTTTTGGGGGTAACCTGAATCTCCTAAGAGCCAAGTGTTGGTATCACCTGTAATTATATTCAAGTTATGAAACATAATTCTTTTATCATTCCTACTGAATATCTCCGCTCTAATTCCTCAAAAAGTGCCGACTGCCTGAATATGAAAGCATCATGTGCTGCTCCACCATACCTAGCATTGATGTTCAAAATTTCTAAATTATAATCACACACCTGAAAACAAAAACTGTACCTATATATTGTTGTTGTAAGTCCATATTGACTATATTAATCTTGAAATATTACATGGCCAATCGAGTGGCCAATATAAACTCCTTGAATGCACAAAAGTACAATGAGATTATGCTCGATATTATAATTATGACATGCATTCTAGATGTAAACTATACTTACAATTTGAACATTTTTGGAATGATAACCTTTGCGGTTCAAATAATTGTTCTCTTGATTTGTTGGGGCTAATATAGAAACATGAGTGCAGTCTATTGCACCCAAAACACCAGGAAAACCAGTATGTTGCATAAATGTTGCCTTGATTCGGTTTATATGATTCCTTTCTCTTGGAAACCGGATCCACTGATCACCTAATTCATTCTGAATCTGGAGTTACTTCTTTAATTATATTGGAAACGGTCTGCTGACTAACAGGACATTTCCAATCCAAGCCCACTCGGTTCTGATACTGCCCGGCAGCATAAAAATTTAAAGCCATTAAAATTGTTTGTTCTGGTGAAACAGCCAATGGGCTTCTCTTTTGTATATGTGGTATCAAGGCAGGAAAAAGTATATGACGAACCATTTCTTTTGTTAAGCGAAACAAATTCAGAAACTGAGCATCTGTCATGTAAAAAGGGTCACTATTGATTCGAAGGAACCTCTTTTCCTGATTAATGGTCCTCATCACTTCCTTTCTCTGTTCTTCGTGTAATAAAATATTATTTAAGATGTGAATAGGTAGCATCTAAAAAACCGAGTAAAAAACAAAACAGTTTACAAAAGGAAATTATTTCTGCCAAACATTTTTACCTTATAATATTCAAAATTTATATATCAAATCGGAAATAAACTCTTTTTTTCTAATATGCTGTACACAAAATATACATCTATAATAAAAGACATACAAGAGGTAAGGTTAGGATTTTTATTTTGGAAGTGAAGGACAAGAAAGAGCAAATGATAATTATTATTTGCTATCCTTCTCTTATTCATTGAGGCGATGCTCCCGCGACACCGTTTAATCAGTCGCCAACATGCGACCCGATTTGTCGTCCCAAAGCGAGAAAATTATGAACATAGTGCTCTTGGCGATAAAATCACCCAGATGTCGCCGGAAGGCGTGAACATAGTTGCACCCCAGGTAATATAGGAGATAAGGTCTATTGAGTAGACGCTTGGATATTTTTGTCAGGTGTTGTCCTGTATTTCTTGTTATTTATTTGGTGCTTGCGTCATATCTTTGATTCTTTGAGGCCCCAAACTTTGGCAGGTATTTAAGGAAGTTATTTTAAGCCATGATTTAACAAACAATAAATATAAAAATTTCAGTTTTGCTCGATGGCGGATAAACGGATTTATAAAACTGGTGCTCAAAGAAGAAAAATTAAAGAAAGAAAGGAAGAATTCATCAAAAAGCTCCCAAAAATTCAGAGTTTTTTTAATGATTTACCGACTGAAACTGCATCTACCTCGACGACGACAACGACCAGTGAAAATGATAGCGATTGCTGGCTCAATTAGCATCCACCTCCACATTGGCAAGCAAAAATGATACAGAATTGTTGCCTGAATCAGCATTCCCTTCGACAAGCCAGGAGTTGGAGTTACGTACCACTAGCTGATTCTGCTATTAGTGTATTACATGTCAATGAAGACTCCCAAAATATGAATACTGTCACTCTTGACAATCAAAACAATGTCAATATCTCGACGGATTTAGGTACAAGGACAAAGTACTTTCTGATGAAATGAAGAGGCAAATTATCAGTTTGCCTTCTAGCAGACCAAAAGGGCCATTTCCCAAAGATCAGTCCCAAGAGAATAGATCTTTCAATGAATCCTATTATTTTTCAGCATCGGAATATGGTCCTGTGCCACGCCATTGGTTGTGTTATTCCTTCAAATTGGACGCGGCGTATTGCGAACCCTGCTGGCTTTTTTCCATATCAGCAAATAACTGGTAAACTGGAATTAGGCAATTCAAACCACGCGACATTCAAGATGGCCTGGCGGCCACACATGGGCAAAAAAACACAAAAAAATATCTAGTTTCTGCCCGAATTAATAGTTTAGGTACCTAGTCAACAAATGTTTTATTAAATAATGAAAATCAAAGTTGTAAGCAAAACTGTATGCAAAATAATTTAAAATACGCATAAAAACATATTCAAAACAAACTTGTTTGGCCGCCACGTCACATTGAATTTTCCTTTTTGACAGATGGATTGAATTGCCTTTGGCAGAAAGTCGACAAACAAAGTCACATAACCTATTAATAGCATTGTCAATGTTATTAATTTTTTTTTAAATTTTGGGCTTAAATTTAATAACTAGGGCAGTTTTGGGAGAACGTAATATGTTTTATCGAGAAGCGATGTGTGTTTGGTGATTGTAAAAGTGATAGTCAAACGAGTTCCATTAAATTAACGACCCCATTTGCCTCCACTGGAGTTTAAGGTAACACAGCATTTTGTCAAATCTACGCTTTCGTAAGTATTCGGTGCATTCGCTATGGCTTCTTTGGTTGCAAAACGTTTGATAAAATTAACAGAAAGTGATGTGACAGGTGCTGTGTTACCTAAAACTCCAGTAGAGGCAAATGGGGTCGTTTATTTAATGGAACTCGTTCGACTATCACTTTTACAATCACCAAACACACATCGCTTCATCGCCTCTCGATAAAACATATCACGTTCTCCCAAAACTGTCATAATTATTAAATTTAAGCCCAAAATTGAAAAAAAAAAAATAACATTGAAAATGCTATTTATAGGTTATGTGACTTTGTTTGTCGACTTTCTGCCAAAGTCATTCATAATGAAATATTCTATTAGAGATTGG